ATTTATTTAGGCGCTTATGACACGCTTAACAGACCCAATCAAAGACATGAGCATGTAGCCAAAATCTAGATTTCCAACAACTCTTTTAGCCCCTAAAGTTACATTCTATTTGGTTAAAATAGTTTTTTTTTATTCATCCAATTATATGATTTCCTTAATCTTCTTGTAGGTTTGAAGGCCTAAGAAAAAAAAGGAGGATGGCTATAGATAAGCCTACTAATTAGTCCAAAAATCTATGTTACTTGTTCCAAATGTCATAATAAAGGACACTATCCTGAACATGTAAGGGGCAAAGGGGGTCAATTCAAAGTGCAGTGGGTGGATCAAGTCATGATGCAGTGAGTGGATAAAGAGGAAATAAGAGGGACAAGGGAAAAATGCATAAAGTGTAGAAAGTAGGAGCTAAGTGAAGTTGGATACACATGAAATCATGACTAATCAAGTTATTTGACTATTTTTTATTTTAGATTAACAACTTGTAATGATGGTTTTTAGATGTTTTTGTTTCAAACACGTTGGATAATTAAATCATTTGCTACTAGCTAAATTACTTATGTAATTAACTTGATGCAATCCCTATGTCATGCTACATTTCCAATCGTAATGACCAATATTCTTGGTCATTTATACTTTCATTTGTCATTTCCAGTGTTTTGATTGTGTGCGTTTCTCATTCCATTCCAATGTTTGATTAATGACCAAAAACCAACCTATATGACCAAAACTCATTCTATTCCATTCCATTCCAACATTCCAAAAATCATGATCTATGACAAAAAAAAAACCAATGCTTGATAGTTACCTTAATATGCAATACCATTAAACTGATTAACCAAAACCATGCATTACATTAACATTCCAATACATGACATCCCATCCCAAAATCAAGTGGTAATTCACATTCCAGTTCTTAATACCCATCCCAGAATACAGACCCAAAATACATCCCAAAATACAAAAGACTTGCACCGACCAAAATACATCCCCAAATCTCACTCCTACTTAGTGCTTACATATATAAACGAAAAAAGTCCAAGACAAAAGAAGCATCCGCTTCAGCTTCACAACATTTGCAGAAACTCGATTCAACATCATTTCAACATTGTTTAGTTTTCTTAGCAAGCCAAGAATCACCTCCATAACCCTGGCACACATCAAATCGTCCACTCACCCAAGAGATGGACAACTTCGACCTTTTCGAGCACAAGACCAGAATCGCCTTCCTAGATTGAGGTCCGTCCAAGATGTGACTCTCATAGCTACGCTTCCACACATACAAATCACCATTTTTGAGAGAGAAAGAGCTTGAACGTTTTGAGCGTTATCTTGGGCATTTTAAAAGGGATGGAGAAGGCAATATATGAAAAGACCAAAATACCTCCTCCTTTTTTGAACTTGATACGACCAAACGACTGAAATTAGACTGAATTACAAAAAGAGTTTCATATAAGTTTTGCAAACCACAAGGACCAAGTACATAAAAAAATTAGTATCTCTGACTTTGACTTTATTGAACTGCATAAAACTTTGTATACAATTCTAGGGATAGTGTGAGACCAAACCGATACCCACCGGTACAGTTCTCAATTTCCCGAATACCAAATTTGATTGAAAGTCAATTCCGAGTACTGTAACAAATTAACGTTATCGGTACCGGTACCGAGAATGGTACCGGTTTTCGATACTAATACCGGTACCGAATCCCGAATTTTATAATTTTCTGTATCATCAGAATTTGGTAAAAACCAATCATCCTATACAATTATCCTACACAATTCTTTGGAAAGAACCGTCTCCCAACTGAAATTTACAACTACGACTGTACTTAATTGTTGTATTTCACCAACCTCACTTCACTTCACTTGGACACAAAAACAACGACAGAGTAGCCGCTTTCTTGGATGGTATCCAACGCCCAATTACCATTTCCTCAAAATCAACCAAGTGTTTCAATTTTTATCAAATGGGTTTCTACGAATTCCGTTTCTTTCAAATGGGGTTCCTGTAGATTTCAAGTTTGAGTTAGAATATATTTGCCTTTAAGAATGGCAGTCAAAGTTTCTTCTTCATTGTCCTGCGTTTCCACATCTTTCTGTGCTTCATTGCCATCCAGAAGAACTCTCCAGGTACAAATATTAAGTAATTCAATAACACCTTAGTTGATTTGTTTATGTACCCTTCAATTTGCTAGCGTACTACGTTTTCCGTTATACGAAAGTCTTGTCTAGGGTTTATGACGAGTACGGTTTCAAACTCAGAGATTCATTTCGATTCTCCAAACAAATAAGTTTATCAACTATTTAGAATTATATGAATACTGGGTTTAAATCGCGATGGGTTTATGCAACTAAAATCAAATAAATCTGTTTCAATTTTGAATTTTAGGTTCGCATCTCTAATTCGTTTGGTTTTTGTCTTTCTTCGTTGCTTTTTTGTTATTCATAGCATCCATATTCATTCTTTATGTTCTTTGTATCTTTCTTCGTTGCTTTTTTGTTATTCATACCATCCATACCATCCCTATTCTCTTTGGTTTGACGTAAAGGTTAATATTTTCTATTTTCTTTGGGAAAACGATGAGTTTTTACCTTTTCTTAAACATGAATGGCGTCATTTTTTACTTAATAAGATCAGACATCCTTCATGTGTTTTTATGTGTAGTTTGTGGATTTGAGTATTTGCTTAGTGTGTCGTAAGTTAATTAAATAGCTATATCTTTATTTTGTGTCATTACTTTTGTCATTATTATCACATCTCCATATTCCTAATTTCCCATAAAAGTTATTTTTGTTCCTGTAGTAATTTAGCAACTTCTGTTCTCAGGTCAGCTTGCCTCCAAGATTACATGATTGTAGGCAACTGAAAACCAAAGGTGCGTTTGTAACTTGTTACTTGATTTCCCATTTAGATTTTCTTAATTTTTTCCTGACAAAAAGGATTAGGGGGTGTTTGGTTCACCTGATTCCTTAGGAATTGGTCGGAATTGGAATTCAATTCCATTCCATTCCGGTGTTTGATTGCAGATGGCTACAGAAATGCATTCTGTTGGAATTCATAAAATCTTACCAGTGATGGAACTTAAACGTTCCTTCGATAAACACGTGAAATTCAATTCAATTCAATTCCTCCCTCATTTCTATAAATGACTGAAATACCCTTTCTAAACTCTATCTTTAACATTTTAGTATGTTTTGGTTTCTTCTTTTTACGATGTGTCAATAATTATATGTTACTAATGATATAATTTGTTTTTTACCCAAAAGTAGTCTTAGAAAATTTTGCGAACAAGAAATTATTAAAAGTGTAATTTGAATATTACAAGTATCCAAATAAGTTCCGTGAATAAAGAGTAATTCTGTCATTTGTCATTATTTCCATTCCAAATCCTTTGACAGATTTACAACCAAACCGAATTATTTAAAGGAATGGAAATGAATCCCATTCCATTTCTAGCCAACCAATCACGTGCATTGACAAATTAGAATTACTTTTAAAACATTCCCCAAACCAAACACACCCCTACATCCATTTCTTTTGAAGGGCATTTGCCATTTTAATTTCTAGTGTTGTTCAAAACCAGTTTCTCATTTGTGTATGCAGATTCTAGTTTTACGCCTTGTTTTAAAATTATGCTTTGCAGTTAATACAAGATGTTCCATAAATGGAAGGTTGAACATGAACCAAAGGTTCCCAAAAAGACGATTTATATTCTTTGCCTCTGTGGAGGATCTGATCTCAGGAAGCAATGATATAGATTCAGATGATGGAACAGATGAAGAAGATGATGATCTTTTGATTGAAGATGAAGCATCTAAAAGATTTGAAACCCTTGAAAGAAGTGGAGGAAAGCCGGGTCTTATCTCCTTTTATAACCACCCATACAAAAATGAACCCGAAATTCTTGTATCTACTACACCCACAATCTCAACTTCGGGTCAAACGAAACTCTACTGGTTTGTGGGTCCCGCTGTTCTTGTAGCCTCTTTCATTTTCCCATCACTTTATATGCGAAAGATCCTGTCTAGTGTTTTTGAGGACTCTCTGTTGACAGGTATAATTTCTGTAAAACCCGTTTAAGAAAGACCCTGTTTCAGTGTTTTATTTTTTATGTTTCTTTATTAAGTGTTGTCTGGACAAATAATGTTTAAAGAATATTTTAGAAAATGATGACACACTTGGGGAAATGGAGTAGAAATAAACAAGGGAATTTCTGTAAAAAGTTATGACTTACATAATGGGAAAAGCCTCATTAGTCAAAAAGAAACACCCATGTGTAACTTTGTTTGTCGGAGTGTTAGAAGGGTAAAATGGTCATTTACTCATATTTAGACAATGTATTTTATCTAAAAAGGAAACAGCTTTAAAAACACCCATATATAAATATAACTTATTGAATATGTTGATCTGTTGATGGATATGGTAAAAATTGTTTGTTCGAGTGTTGGAAGGGTAAAATTACTCATATTCAGATAGTTTATCCAGTCCCAAAAAGAGTTAGCCTTAGAAACAACCATATATAACATAACTTATCAAATATATTGATCTGTTGATGAATATGGTGAAAATTGTTTGTTGGAGTGTTTCAAGGGTAAAATGGTCATTTATACCACATTCAACCAGTTTACTCAGTCCAAAAAAAAAACAGTTTTTGTGTATCATCATTTATCCACTCAACACTTTATCCTTAATGAAAAAAACAACCCTTTAGCATTATGCTTTAAGGTTTTGAGATGAATCTTTATTGTTATTTGCAGATTTCCTTATATTATTCTTCACGGAAGCTCTATTCTATTGTGGGGTAGCCGTATTCCTTTTGATAGTAGACAATTTACGCAGGCCTACCGAGCCAATCAACACCAAAAACCGCATGATTCCACCTCCTCAATTGGTTTACAGAATCACTTCAGTGGCTGCATTGGTACTCAGTCTCATGATTCCAATGGTCACAATGGGTTTAGTTTGGCCGTGGACAGGTCCAGCAGCTTCCGCTACACTTGCGCCCTATCTTGTTGGCATTGTTGTGCAATTTGCATTCGAACAGTATGCAAGATACATCAAGTCACCTTCATGGCCTCTCATTCCCGTTATCTTTCAAGTAATTAACCTTAATCCATTACCACATGTTTGTTAGATTGTTTGTACAAGGTTTTTATGATTTTGTATTGTGCAGGTGTATAGATTGCATCAGTTGAATCGTGCAGCACAACTTGTGACTGCATTGTCCTTAACTGTTATAAGGGCTGAGTCAACACCACATAATTTGGCTATAAATGGTTCATTGGGTATGCTGTTGAATGTTCTTCAGTGCCTTGGGGTGATTTGCATATGGTCTCTTTCCAGCTTTCTTATGCGGTTTTTACCTTCTGCTACTATAACTGAACAATGAGTCTACAAAAAAGAACAGTTTAATTGGTCATGTAGGTTGTTACAGATACTACATATTTTTTAGTAACTGGATTTTTTCTGTTGTACATATGAAAGAAGCAGCATTCTGCTGAATAGTTGGAATTTTTATGCAGACGGAAAAGCTCGAAAGACATTTTATTACCATGGCTCGTTTGTTATGCATGACTGGACATGACAAAACATGTTGTATTGCATTTGTTGTGTATAAGGGGGTATTACTGACTAAAAACCTTTGAACACAATAAACTAACTTCACATTTTCAACATAAGGATAAGTTTTCTTAATGAAATATGTCTTTCAAAAGTTAAAGTCTGTTCACAATAACTCAAAAGTTGCAGTCTATCTCGAGTGCCAATCATTTCTTCATTTTGGATACATGCTTGAGACATATGCTCACAATCCAATTAGGATGCAAGTTGTGTTTGCAAGTCCTCGCCATATTTAAAGTCTTTAAGAAGCTAAAATTTTTCTGTTGTAAAGATGAAAGGGGTAACATTCTCCTAAATAATTGCAATATTACCGGTTTTCCATCCTCAAGGTCTTCTATAAACTATGATCTTTCGGTTGTAATGTTTTTTTTTTTGTAAGAATTGTCTAAAATCAGTATCAAGTTAATTTAACGGTTTTAAAATAATATATTGAGTATACAAAGTTCCTAGAAATAAATAATAAATAGAATATGAATGAACAAATTGACTATGAAAGACAAATAACTTGGCTCTAGTAGTAACACCACATAAACAAATAATTACCAACCAATCAAAATGGATGCACACGTTACATTTTAAATATTTATAATAAAACAACTATGTTTTTTTAAATGTAACGTAATTTCTTGCGAAATAATAATGAAAAAAGATTTTTTTTTTCAAAGATTTCTATAGATGATTATTATTAGACAGTTCTATGTAAAAAAACATTTCACTAAGTCCGTTTTGCAAAATGTATAGTTATTCTATGACAACTATTCAAATATAATTTTTGTGATGATATTCAATCCATTTTGGTTATTTTAGTGGCTAACCTATAAAAAAAAACACTTTTCCGTTCTAGTCGCAATACAACAACAAAACCTTCACAATCTAAAGTTTTCAAAAGTTGATATTGTTAATCGCTACATTCTATACATTGGTAACATCAAGATTATAAATTTTTGTATAAAACTGAAACTTTAAAGAAGATATAACATTTATTTTGATTGACCAAATTATAATGCAAGTTAAATAATTTCAGCGCTTTTCTTTTAAAGAAAAAAAAAACAAAAATAATGTATTATGGTAAATTAGTTCATGTAACGACATGTGTGTCGACTGTCTAGTCCCACATCGACCACACGAACAACTGAGTGTAGCGTTATGTAGTCGAGATCAGTACCTATAATCGTCCCTTCGGGGACATCCGATAAAATTGGAACGATACAGAGAAGATTAGCATGGCCCCTGCGCAAGGATGACACGCACAAATCGAGAAATGGTCCAAATGTTTTTTTCGCCTTCATCGTCTTCGCAGAAACCCTAATCCCTATTCAGAAGTGACAGCGATTTCATGCGACGGGGGCCGTTATTTATTATCATTTGTTGAACTACGGCTTCATAACAATCGTCGGATTTTATGGAGGTATGCATCAAAATTTATTTCTGCGAAGAGATGTTGAATCCGTGTGTGTGTGTTCGAATATGAGCAAATGTTTGATTGTGTTTGAACTTCAGTTCTGTAGTTTATTTGTGTCTACACTTATGCACTTCGATTGGGGTATGCGGAACAAGTTTAACCCAAATTGGGGTGTTTGTAACTATATTTTATCAAGTAAACTGCAAGTTATGATGATGGACTTTTGTGAGTTTTAAGCTGTTATAGTGTTTGTGAGGATGGTCGATCTATTAACCATAGTAATCTTAAATGATGGTGTTTTGTGATCAAACCAGTCTTACCATTGATGATTTTCTGCCCTGCTTTTGATCATTATTGGAGTATCAAAACTCAGATTCATTTTGATTTCTTGAAGCAAATAAGTTTATCCAACATTTATGATTATATGAATTTATGGTTTAAATTGCAATAGGTTTATGAAACTAAAATCAAATAAGTTTGTCAGTTTTGAATTCTAGGTTTGCATCTGTAATTCCTCTAGTTTTTAGTCTCTGTAGATTAGTACCAATGTAGATTGATTTCATTTATTCAGATCATCCATATTAATCCTTTATGTTCTTTCTGTTATGCTATATTCGCTAGGGTTTAAAATGTACCAGGATCATAGTTATGTTCTTCTATTTAGGTCCATCATCCTGATTTTAGTTGGAGTTCAGTGTTAATGCTTTGTGGTGCAATTGCAATTGTAATAAAATGCTTAAGAAAAGTCTTGTGTATGAGAAATTAGTAAAAAGGATAATTTCCATAAGTTTTATGAACCATTCCAATTATTTAAAGGAATGGAATTGGATTCCCTTTCATTTTCCATCCCGCATGACAAATTTCAGTTCATCCATGTTCCAGTTCCTTTGAGAGATTTCAGTTTCTTCCAAAACATTATGCGAACCAGAAAAATTCTTGTTTTACGAATTGATGTTTCTGTTTGTTCGATTGTTAAAATTGATGACTATGGTGATGGTGATAATTGCTTTTTTTGAGTGTTAGATTTTGATAAAATGCTCATATACTCATATTCAAACAGTTTATTTAGTCCAAAAAAGATCTTTTTTGCATTCAACAAAGACATCATTTATCCATTCAACACAACATCCGCTACACCTGCACACTATCTTGTTGGCATTGTTGTGCAATTTGCATTCAATAGTATGCAAGATACATCAAGTCACCTTCATGGCCTCTCATTCTTGTCATCTTTCAAATGCATGCATGTTTCTGAAATTGTTGTCTGAGCCCACGTTTGTTACACATGACATAACAAATTGGGTGTGAAAGATTTGTGATTTAATTTGATAAATGAAGTGAATGTGAAGCTGATGCGAGAAGTTGGAAGACTTGTGGCTTACGTAGGTTGTATTCCTACTAGTTCCTACGAATCCAACATTTTTGAAGTCTTTAGAAACTTCAAAATTTCTTTTGTAAATATGAAAGAAGCAACGTTGGCCTATATAGTTGGAATTTATATGCAAACATTTTATTGCTAGGGGCTAACTGTTATGCATGATTGGATGGGACATGACATAATATATGTGTTGTAATTAATTTGCTAGGCACAACACTAATGTTTTACCCAAAAAAGGTGAGACAAGAACTCCCTCTATTTCCATGTAATAATTGCAGCCTATATTTCTGTAAAACCACAATAGAAATAATTTACATGTATGTATGCCAAACTCTGTAATAATTGCAGCCTCTTTATCCATGTAATGATTGCAGCATTTACATGTATGTATGTTTGTTTAAATGGCGCCGTTTGGTTTACAAAATATAACATGAAAGAATTGGAATGAAAGTAAATCTAGGTTAAGCACATGTGTACTGCCTACTTTTAACAATATTAATTCGACACAAAAACAACATTTATCTAATCTATGAATAACGTGCAAGGACAACTTCACAATCAAAATATGTATTGTCATAGGTGTTGGTAAATAAAGCCATCAAGAGAGAATGACCAAACTTCACTTTTCAATATCGAGTAAGAATAAGTCTTCTTATAAAAAATTTAAAACATATTTTCCAAAAGGTATTCTTGGTGTGCTCGACTCTTCTCTCTTCATAATAACCCAAAAAGTCGCAATCCATTTCGAGCGCTAATCATTTCTTCACTTCGGACCCGTGGCACATGTTACAAATACGGTCGAAAGACTTGCATCTTGCAATTCATTTGCTTTGGTTGTGTAGTACAATTGTAATTTCTATCTAGTTGTAATGGTTCCACCATTCTTTTGAAGTCTACGGTCTTTTGGTAGAAAATATGAAAGAATCGATCCTTAAAGTCTTTTAAGAACTTCAATCATTTTCGTTGTAAAGTTTTACTTGTAAGAATGATCTTAAATCGGTATCGAGTTACTCAAAGGATTAGAATAGTAAGTTGATTACATAAAATACATCAAAATAGATAAGGAAAGTGAATGTAGAAATTGATGTTGGAAAACCTTAATTTAACTTTAGAACTAGTAAGATGAGGGTCATTATGTATAAAAAGAGAAAAGTTTTTAATAGTTCTTTACTTCTTTTGAGTTTTCCACTCTAATTCCAAATTTGTAATACAACTTTCGCATATCTAATGTTTTTGAAGGTTGATTTTTTTAATGGTATATTTTATAACATAGATCAAATATAAAAATTATTGTAAAAAAAGATGAAAATTTTTAAGTGTGAGAGAGCGTTTAATTTGATTGACCAAGGCAAGTAAAAGAAAAAGGAACGTTTTCAAAAGAAAAGATAAATAGTACATTAGTTCATGTAACAAGATGCTGTCGAGTGCTAGTCCCACATCTACCAGATGAAGAAATGAGTGTAGCGTTATATAGTCGAGCTCAGCATCCATAATCGTCCCTTCGGGGACATCCGATAAAATTGGAACGATACAGAGAAGATTAGCATGGCCCCTGCGCAAGGATGACACGCACAAATCGAGAAATGGTCCAAATTTTTTTTCTACCTTCTCTCCGCTTATCGTCTTCGCCGGAACCCTAATTCCTATTCGGAAGTGACATCGATTTCAAGCGAGAGGGTGCGGTTTGGACGGCTTTTTGTTGATTATCTTCTTTTATTAACCACGGCTTCATATTGACGTAGGGTGCATTGGCGGATTTCAACTTGAATCTTGGAAAGCCAGCCATATTGAATCGTTCCAAGACCATGGTGTTTTGTGACTAAAAGAGTAAAAGAGTAGTTTTCTAACAATATAGAGCTAGGACGTTGAAGGGATCAGAATTAGTATAAATTTGCAAAGAGGACTCAGGTCATCATACAAGACAGAAATGTACAAGTTGCTTGGATTTTTGCCCAATGTAACTTTGTAAGCCATTGGGAGAATTTTGCCTTTTCATGTCTATTGTTGCTCCAAGATTCTTTTCTTTTACTGTAAGTATGTAACTACATATATATTGTATGTTTTGCCATGGAATGGATATTGTCTGGTTTGGTTATTTGTCTTTTATTACACACAAGTTTTCTCTAGGGTTTATGACGAGTGTGGGTTCAAATGTAGGCTCATTTTTTATTTCTTGAAACAGATAAGTTTATCCAGCATTTATAATTATATGAATTTAGATGAGATTTATTTCTCTAATTGTTGGGAGTGTGATATCAGTCGAACCCCTTGGTAGAATAAGATAAATGTAAGTGTATAGTCCAAACAACATTGACATGATGGTCACTTAAGTCTGTTGTCTTACCTAACTTATTCACAAATCAAGAAACGAAAATTGAACTTATACAGGAACGTTATGATCCATGCCTCGTGTTTAATGATATCAAACAAAGAGAAATTTAGACGATAATGCATTCACCTCTAAATAGTCAATGGAAGCTTTGCAGAGACACCATCATCTATGATCAAGGACAATGAAGCACTGTTTTTATAGTTTATTTGATTTCCCCAATTTTTCCATCTTGACCACCTTCAAATTCTAACTCAACATCTCTAGTGCCATTTGTTTCATTTTGTACACCAAAAACGCTATCAAGGGCAGGTATCCCGGACATAGTTGCTTGCACGGTTGATTTGTGACTCGGTTTCAGTAAGTTCACCAATTTAATAATAATAAACACCAAAAAAACAAGAATTATGAGTGTTTAAATGGCAATAAGTTTAGGGTATATAAATTTGTGTCGGAGTCAGAGGTTTGCATAGTTTTTAGTCTTTGTAGATGACGAGTAGGTTGTTTTTTGGTTATTCAGATTAGGTATATTAACTCTTTATGTTGTTTTGATTCAGCTGGACAATTTGGTTTAGGTTTATCTGAACAGTGAACAACATTACGTATAACAAACAGGCCCTCAAAGAAACTTTCCGGAAATGGTAAACAGATATAACCCAATCTCGTGCTTCCTGTATCTGTATGCCTAGGTTAGCCAAAACAAACCATTACATGAAACAAAAGACTCAAAAAAAAAAAAAAAAAAACATCTATTCAACCTATATGATCTTGGTCATCTTCAAAAACCCAACAGTTCTGCGATAAGACCACATTGATTCAACAAACTCCATACACATATCCCCAAGCCATTCCTGAAACTCTTTCCACATTCTTTTGGACTCATCTTTTGTAGTCTAAGTTCCTAAAGTACACCAATTGTTGCCATAAATGAATTCGTATGTATTCTTTTCCATGACCAAAGTTGTTTACTAATTTGACTGATTGCTTGAAGCTGAAAACATAGAGCCAGTATATCACATGGACCATCTTGATGTAAAGAGCAAGGAGTAAAGGTCCACCAATCCACAAAGGGATCAACTCCTTTGCAACATGAACACCATACTTTATGTTCACTGTAAGGAACAGGGGTATGCTGCAAATCAAGCATAATAAATGTGCATTAAAACCAAAATAAGATTATAAAAAAAAGAATATATTATTAGTTGCTTTTAGAAAATAAAATTGCAATTTAACTAGCATCAAGAAAAAATTTATAGTAACTGTGTTGTTAAAATAAATAAAAATGGGTTATATTGCAAATTTTCATTCCATTACATGATGGCATGAAAACACACACACACACACACATGCCCTGCTGAGGAATGAAATTTACAAAATGAAAGGAATAGAAAGGAATGGAATGAATCATTCCATTCCTTCCTCGATTCCATCACACCAAACACTACCTTAGTAGCGTGTTGGATTATTAAAAAGGTGTGAAAACACTTAACAACCTATTCACCTACAACGTTTTTCTGGAATATATTAGATACAGGTTACTTACAATATAATCATGGGGATCTTTATTTTTGCATCCAAACTCAAAAAAGTTGCACCATACCCTCTTTAAAATCCCACATTTCATGAGCTCGTGGTCTGTTTCCACTCTTTCATTCCAGGAATGCTCTTCTAATGTACGATCTTGACTTGGTGAAGATGTGGGCAATGATGTCAAACCTCCATTTGAGGAGATGTACGGACTTTTTGCCCATTTTGACCCTCTCACTCTGTCTATGTATTCATCACCTTCATCACTACCTTCAAAAGATGATACTCTTACAGATTTCCGCTTTGATCCATGGATAAAAGGCGGGCCCACACTGTTAAGATATAAGGTGATATCTATCTTCTGAAATGTGCAAAATGCCTTTGAATTTTGGCTCAATTTGGTCCCTTTCTTCCAAGAAGGCCTTGATGGAGCATAGACACCCTTGAAAGATAATAAAGATCTATCAAAACTCCATACAAATTTTAGGGTAAATGTGATCAAATTATATGGTGTTTGGCAACCTGGGGGAGATAATCGAATTGTATAGTGTTTGGCAAAAGTGATTCTAATTCTAATTCTAATTTTTAGGGTAAATGTATTAGAATCTTTGAGGTTATATGCCTACTTTTGTTCAAAATGATTGTCTAATTCTGATTCTAAAAGTCGTGGTAATCAATTTGAACAAGTAGATCCAACCACACCCTTAATATATGAATAATTGAATACAATAACAAAATTTTGGGCGTTTTTTCTACCTGAACCTGACGGGTCACCAAGGCCATTATTCCCTTTGACAGCACCCAATCACTTTTGCATCCACATTACAGATAACAGCTGAAAATGTAACAAAGCAAATGTTTTAGTCAATCCTCTATTGGCACAAAACTCAACAAAAGAATTTAGACAAAGTACTTCAGAAAATCACCTATTCAGAGGAACAAAACTGCTCTTGTTTGAATCTCCGAAATGTACTTCAGAAATTCACCTATTCATCTGTTGCTCATAAAGCAAACATGGTAAATTGGAACAAAACGATGAATTCCAAAGGTTAAAAAGAATCGACAACAGCGATTAACATGAATGTAAAAGTAAGAACATCTACAAACGAAAAGGTATGAGTTTGGGAATTGGGATCGAATGGATCAATGGAGGCACACAATGTGACAGGTAAATGGAACTCGAAAGAAGTGAAGACGATACAGAGTGAGAGAAAGAGATATAATTCATGTCGGTGAAGGTTATCAGGATAACGATGGGACAAAGGCGGTTTGATTGGATTTTGAGAGATCACAGATTCATACAAGACCCAAATTGAATTTGAGGTTTTTTTTTTTTTTTTTTTTTTTTTTTTTTTTTTTTTTTTTTTCCGGCTCTTAAAAACGTAGTTAGTTATTCAAAGTAGTTGAATAGGGGCTATACCATTTATTTAATTTGGATCACCTGGATTACCTAAAAAATAAAATATCATTTAAATATTTCAAATAAATTGTGCTACTTGTGGATTTTGGCTATTGTCAAGCTACTTCATAATTGTGTAACTTATATATATATAGAACGAGATTAAGAATACATGTTTATATGGGTTTTGCAAGGGCCCGATTGACAAACAAATCATTAGATATCAAATAAAAGCGTCATAGAATCATCAACAATCTCGTTTTCATTCATTTAAAATAATTTTACAATAATTAAGTTATGTTTGATATGCAATAATAAAAAAATAACATTCCAATCATTTAGTAAAAAAATACGTCATGAAAGTGATTCCGATTTTGTTGAAACTAAACGAGACACGCCTTAAATTATTTGTTCGTTTCCTAAGAATTCCCAGGACAAAATACAAAGCCCAAATGGAAATAAAGCCTTGTTCTGCACAAACCCAATAGCATATGGGCTTACTATATCTATTATAAACGGTTTTTAATAAAAAAAATACAAATACTTAAAAGAAAAAAGTTCGGTGAGACAATAGTAATTTATGACAAATTTATAAATAAAGATTTAATTACAATAAAGTCATTGAAACTTTTTATATAGAAATGAAAAAAAAATCTTAATATTTGTCTTATATTTTTTTGTGTCAGATTTTATAAAACATTATTTAATGGAGTATCATTTAATTTTGAGAAAAAATATTTATATCAAGTTTTTAATTGATTTAATTGAAAAAGTAAAATGAAAATTTTAAAAATTTTCATTTAAAATCAAAATTTGTTTCCATCCAATTTATGTGTTAAATATTTTATCCCTAATTACAATGTTTAGGTATAACTTTGCGACCAAAGTTTGTTGGTTTTTATCAAATATATACGTTAATTATACCATTTTATTTTCATTTTTATACAATAATACATAAAAGTTGATCATTTGTTAATTATCTATAATAAAGTCATAAAATTATTGAAAAACTCTTTGAATTTTTTTTTAATAAGTTTAATTAGATTTTAGTTTATTCTAACAGCCTGCAGATGTTAAAAAACAAGTCTTCTTCTTTCAGACTGCAGACGTTTGATCCACATCTTCTATTGCAGAGGTCTGCAGATATGGTTCGCAGTCTGCATATATTATTCCTCAGAAAAAACAAACAACACCTTAAATATGGTGCCAAAAATATTCAACCCAATTAATCCAATCCAATTGAGTGGGACAACATTTGTATGGAAGATGATGTGGCATCGGCAACACTGTGTCCGATGTTCGATATGGTAAAGGTTTTGTGTCATCTCTTCACTTTCTTACAGTTTTTCTTTCCTTAGCAAACACTTGACCAATGCGATGACCACTCCCTTGTATCTTTTTTTTTGAATAAATAAAAACTAGTAATAAGCTAGAGAAAAAACTAATTACCGTCATATTTTTATAAATAAAAACTAGTAATAAGCTAGAGAGAAAACTAATTACAAAAGGTTATAAAAAGAGGTTTTTACAACCAGTGGGGTCCAAGCTATACCACTCCTTTATATGTGACTAAATTAAACCACAAGCTTTGAACCATTCGAGCATTGTTGTAGGGAGACAAAGAGAATGAATAAACTTTTTTCTAGGATTTCACATCTTGTACGTACTTTAGTCATGTCCTCGAACTTTCTTCTATTTACACCCAACTCCTTCCACTGTTCTTACTAATCGGCCCTTAATATTTCGTAGTTCAAAATATATCATGCTTTTTTAGCAATTTAACATAAAGCATGATTAATTTTACAAGGACCATTTTTCATATAAATTCAAACATATTAGTTCACATTTAGCTTAAAACTTATAAGCTTATATTTCAGATCACATGTTTCAATATGACTATATATAGTAGTCATATCCACAAAAAAATTATTAAATTAATTTACTAATAAAAATTCAGTTATATTTAAGAAATGAATTGTGTAAAAATAGTTATTATTGAAAAACTATAGCATGAAATCAATCAAAGTGGAAAAGTAGAAAATCTATTAGATTATGGAACTTTTGAAGATTTGATTCGTATAAAGATAGATTCTTATAAAGATAAATATATCTCTATGTACGTAGATGAATGTTTATTTGTCAAAGTCTCTTTTAAATGTAAAAACTCTATAAGGTTATTTCGGGTATAGAATATATTTTATTTGGATATATAATATATTTTAATATCCTAATAAAATGTAAGTCCATTTATTCTAAAATTATAGCTCCGACAGTGGTTTGGTTTTCCAAGAAACGACAGATATACATGAATAATACAACCGGAACGCTTCATAATAAAAGAAGGGTCAAGGAATAATCTTAAATATACTGCAATACGAAGCATAATCAAACAAGTTCAATAAATAAAGTCACTTCTGAATGAAACCCGATATCTTTAAGGGTCATTCTTCCCTTATCAACACCGTAAACCTTTCTAGGAAAACTTGATACGAGTCTGTAGTTTTCACCAACTCCTGGTATGCCTAGTGAATCGATGAATTTGAAAATGGCTTCCATTTTGTCTAAACTTGAGAATGTTTTCTCCTTCCTTTCTCCATTTGGAAACCGTATTAAAATCTGAAGAAGATAAACCAGACATCAAGCACAAGTCTATAAGCCAAATGTACAACCATGACTTGCAAAACAAACCTGGGAATGTTGACCATTGGCAGTTGCATTTTCTTCGTGTTGAGCTTTATTTTCTAGTTTTGACATCTTTTCCTAAAGCCAAAAAAATAAGAAGTTATATAAAATTCCGGAACCTAAACATAACCGCTTTAACTGCTTGTATATTACAATTTTATGTAAAATATGTCGTCACGATAGTGACTCTAAATTTATTTTTGACTTGGGCATTGGGGAATGGTGGATGATAATGACATTATACGTACAAATCAGACTATATAAAAAATACTTATGAGTGGAATTTGACTATGAGACATGCATGACTAGTCCGAGTGATATGAATGGTGGGACCCATGGAATATATAAAAAAATGCATGATTAAACGAACCTGATCCGCTTGGAGAGAGGCAGCATAAGCGGCATCTTGTTCTTGTATCAATCGAATATCGGCCTTTCTTTTTTCTTCAGCTTGTGCCCTTCTATTACCGAACGCTGATTGTTGCTCCTCGAGTATCGTTTGTAGTATTTCTACTAGTTCTTCTGGGGTCACCGGCCCTTCCATCTACTTAATAATATGTTCAGAACTACCGATTGCATTAAGGATAAATGAAATTTAAAAATATATGAGAAAACATGCTGACATACTTCTAGAAATGGAAGTGAAAAGTAAATGATGACAAATTTATAAAAATTATGACTTAACGGAGCAAACATTTTTTCCTAAATTTCTCTACTAAGTTGTTCTTTCATCATTATTCAAAAAAAAACTTTTATACCTAGTTTAATTACCGGATCAAATCATATTCTCGTTAATCCACTAAAATAAAGCAAGACTACAAGAAATCAAAATCTTGGTGTGTGGTTCAAACATACCTGTTGAACCACGTCTAAGTTGTGGCCTGAACCAGGGGCGACAACCGCACAAAACGGATAGCTAGCTGGCCGAAGTGTTGTAGCCATATGCAAACCCTCACCTTGATCAGCAACACCACCCCATGACACGAAATTTGCATCAAGAAACTGCACCACTACTTCAGAACACAAAGTTTCCTTACAAAAATGTGGTGTAAATGGGTGATTAGGCAAATGCAAGTACAAGAACACAAACTTGTGTTCATCTTGAGCCATCTTTAACGCCTCCACGAACCTACATGCATAGAAGAACGGATGGATGATGCCAAAGTGTTGCTCAAAACATGATAGAAAACTCAGATCTGGTTGAAGATGATTAATGGAGTGATCTAGTGGAGGGTGGTGGTTGTAGACATGAGGAACATTTGGTGGTGGGAATTGGTGGTGGTTTCTCATGAGGTCTAGTCCTTGATCCATTATGGCTCGTGGGAGGCTAACCATTCGACGCACTAGTCTAGTGCATGAGGCTTCCAACATTTCTAGTGGATTAGCCATTTTGGGTCGAGCCACAACACTTGCATCACTAGAAGCCTATGTAGCATTTCCTCTGACAAAATGGAAACATGGAAGAGATTAAAGTAAATGGGAACCCAATGTGGTAAAGGTCGTTGCTTTTTGACTATTTGATCAATTAGCAATAGTTTCTATGGTTGTCATCATGTAGTTTTGTTTTTTAATAGACTATTTAAAAAAGTGACTGTTTTCTAAGACATTTACATAATATTTGTTCAAGAATTTGCAATATTTTTCATGTGGGTAATCAAGATTTCAAGTCAAGTTTGTAGAGTAATCAAGATTCAATATTGATGTTGTTTTTGCGATTTTAAGGATTAAAAAAAGTGATATGAAATGGACTATATATTAGAAAACTTTTGTTTTTTTTGGAAATAACAAACGAATTAAACGGAAGCCTACTCGCAATATTTGAAGGGCAAACCCAGCCCTTACAGAGATTTCCAAGGAAAAATTCCCCACATGTGGCACCACAATAAGTAATTTAAAGGAATCGAACTCCCAACCTCACGCTCAACATAGATGTAAAACCTTATTGTGGAAGTTTCCTTCAAACTTCAACATTGGATGATTTCTAGAATACCATTCTACACATGTGGTTTTAATTTGTCAAGAATGGGTGGTAGCATGTTTGTTAAGAATGGATGGTAGCATGTTTGTCAAGCTTGGATGGTAATAGACAATTGAATTCATAGCATGTTTGTCAAGAATGGATGGTAGCATGTTTGTCAAGCTTGGATGGTAATAGACAATTGAATTCATACATTCATTTGCCTATAAAAGGAAATGAAACCAAGCTTATTAAAAAAACAACACACCTCAAATTACATCTTCATTTTTCTCTCATATTCATACAAATATATATTTGATATATTTGTTTTTCTTTCCTCTATCTCTGTAAACACTGAATATTATAGTAAATTGGTTCTCGGCTTCCTCCGCCCGGTTTTTCCCGATTTGGGTTTCCACGTAAATATCGCGTGTTTTTTTCTTTTTATCGTTCGATTTATTCTTGGTTGATTATTCAAATAGTTTTATATTCCGTTGAATCGCTATCGTGATATTTGGGTTTTATACTTCGATCTTGAAGTTATCGATTATTTATTGTAGTCGATTTGTCTACAATTGGTATCAGAGCTATCCGGGTTTTCCGATAACGATTCGTAAAAAAAAACTATTTTCAACCATGTCATCGATGAAGTACGATATTCCTTTACTTGACAGAAACACAAGATTCCCTCTCTGGCAAGTAAAGATGAAAGATGTGTTGATCCAAATGGATCTCCACAAAGCACTATTAGGAATGGAGAAAATGCCGGCAACTTGGTCGACTGAGGAAAAGGAGATGAAAGATCTGAAGGCGTCGTCGCAGATCCGTCTGCATCTTTCTAACGACGTTCTCTAAGATGTGTTGAAAGAGACATCCGCAGCGGCTCTCTGGCTAAAACTCGAGCAACTACTTATGACGAAAAGCTTGCCCAACAAGCTACACTTGAAGCAACGACTTTTTAACCTAAAGATGGGTGAAGGTAGTTCTTTGTCTGATCACCTCTCTACCTTTAAAGAGCTTGTAGGAAATCTGGAGAATATGGACGTCAAATACGAAGATGAAGACTTGGCGTTATTTTTATTATCTTCTCTCCCAGACTCCTACGATCACTTTCGTGACACCATTATCTATTCTCGGGACACTCTTGTCCTTGACGAGGTAATGACTGCTCTTGATTCAAAGGAAAAGATGAAGCAGATAGTTGGGAACAGTAGCAGTGATTTTAAAGCCGAAGGTCTCAACATCAGAGGGAGACCTAACGAGAGAGGTAGCTCTTCACAAAACCGATCTAGATCTAAGTCCAAAGCCAATCGCAAGTATTGCAATTATTGCCACAAGAAGGGACATCTGATCGATGAATGTTTCAAGTTAAAGAACAAGGAGAAAGCAAAGGCAATCGCAAAGGGAAAAACAACCAATAACACCGTTGAAGCCGATGTTGCCGAAACTGGTTCCGATGGCGAGCTTCCATCCGTTTCAGACTACGGTTTAATGACCACGAGTGAGTGGGTACTTGATTCAGCGTTTACTTTTCATATGAGCTCCAACCGAAGCGTTTTTCATTCATATGAAAAGGTTAACGAAGGCCACGTTCTAATGGGTAACGACACTTCGTGTCGTATTATTGGACGGGGTACACTCAGGTTCCGCATGTTCGATGGCGTTGTTCGAACGATTCAAGATGTGAAGCACGTATCCGGTCTTAGGCGAAATTTACTAAGTCTCGGTACTTTCGAGAAGAAAGGTTACGAGTTTGTTGGCAAAGACGGGAAACTCCATATTTTCAAGGAAGGTTCTGTGGTCATCCGAGGAGTTAGAAAATCCGCAAACCTTTACATTATGGATGGGCAAGTTATCTCCGGCGAAGTCTCGGTATGTTCTAAATCCCTCTCCAACGCTGATCGCTCTCGTCTATGGCACCTCAGGCTCGCTCACATGTCATACCATGGTATGAATGAACTAAGTCGAAGGGGGTTGCTCGGGGAGCACAAATCAATCGAACTTGAATTCTGTGAAGATTGTATATTTGGAAAGCAGAAGCGAGTGAGTTTTATCGGTGGCAAACATACGACGAAAGGGCCACTTGACTACATACACTCTGATTTATGGGGACCAGCGAAGGTTACATCGAAAGGTGGAGCCTCTTATATGCTCACGATCATTGACGATTTCTCAAGAAAGGTATGGTCGTTCTTCTTGAAGTCAAAGGGAGAAGTATTCCAAACTTTTAGAGATTGGAAAGTATTGGTTGAAAAGCAATCAGGTTTTGAAGTGAAATACCTTCGTACTGATAATGGACTGGAATTTTGTTCTGAAGAATTCAACTCCTATTGCCGTAGGGAAGGAATTACGAGGCATCGCACAGTAGTTCATACACCACAGCAGAACGGCGTAACGGAATGTATGAACCACACCATCATGGAGAAGGTCCGATGCATGCTATCTCATTCGAAGTTGCCGAAGTCTTTTTGGGCCGAGGCCGCTTCAACCGCATGCTACATTATCAACTGTTCCCCTTCTCGTGCTATTCAAAAGAAGACCCCATTTGAGCTTTGGTCCGGCCAACCTGCTGATTACACGAAATTGATTCCATTTGGATGTCCAGCATATGCCCGAGTTGATAACGGTAAATTGGAACCGAGGGCAATTAAATGCGTCTTTCTCGGATATCCGACAGGTGTTAAAGGGTTCAAATTATGGAGCCCGAAGCTAAGCAAGGTTTTGACATCTAAAGATGTGACCTTCGATGAAAAAGCCATGCTTCATCCTGTCTCCAACATTCAGACCAGAGAAAATGAAAATTCGGAAAAAGACAAAGTTCGAGTGGAGGTGGAGTTTCCTTTAAATTCATCTTTCGAGGACCAGTCTCATGAAGGTGTCGAGGTTTCTCAACCCTCGAATAATCAACATTCTTCTTCTCATGAGCCAGCCGAAGCTCCAAGCCAACCTCACAGTCCCTCCATTGCAAGAGATAGACCTCGCAGACAGATTGTACCTCCAAAGAGATATGTTCAAGCCAATTCTATCGCTTATGCACTTACAGTTGCCAATGAAGTTGAGTCTGTTATGGAGCCCACAAGCTACAACGAGGCCATTCAATCCAAACATTCTAATAAGTGGATGGTTTCCATGCACGAGGAGATGGAATCTCTTCAGAAAAATGGCACATGGGATCTCGTTCCAGCTCCAAAGGGTAAGAAGACAGTTAAGTGCAAATGGGTCTACAAGTTGAAGGAGGCTATCCACCCTGGTGACAAACCAAGATATAAAGCTCGTTTGGTAGCCAAAGGCTACAGTCAAATCCCAGGTATCGATTATACCGACATTTTCTCTCCGGTTGTGAAACACACGTCAATACGTGTCTTGTTGGGATTAGTTGCCTCTCATGACTATGAATTAGAGCAACTTGATGTTATTACAGCATTCTTAAATGGTGTGCTTGAGGAAGAGATATATATGCAACAACCTAAAGGTTTTGTAGCTCCTGGCAAGGAAAGCTACGTGTGCAAATTGAAGAAGTCTCTTTATGGCCTCAAGCAATCTCCTCGACAATGGTATAAAAGGTTTGACTCATTTATGACCAGTCACAAGCTGAAAAGGTGCACCTACGACAGCTGCGTTTACTACAAAAAGTGTGACGATGGTTCAATGGTCTATCTACTTTTATACGTGGATGACATGTTAATTGCAGCGAAGAATATAAAGGAGATTCAAAAGATAAAAGACCAGTTGAATGCTGAGTTCGATATGAAGGACTTGGGTGCTGCCAAGAAAATTCTAGGAATGGAAATAGTGCGAGACCGTAGTGCAAGAACTCTATACCTTTCTCAACAAAGCTACATTGAGAAGGTTCTGCACCGTTTCAATATGCATGACGCAAAAGAAGTCAGCACTCCTTTCACAGACCACTTCAAGCTATCATCCGCCTTAAGTCCTACCACCGAAGAAGATATAGCATACATGGCAAAGGTATCATACTCCAACGCTGTAGGATCTCTTATGTATGCTATGATTTGTACACGTCCATATTTGTCATATGCGGTAAGCATGGTGAGCAGATACATGGCGAATCCAGGAAAGGAGCATTGGGTTGCTGTTAAATGGATTTTTCGCTACTTGCGAGGTACTTCCTCTTTATGTCTGCGGTTTGGAAAAACCGATAATGGAGTACTTGGTTATGTGGATTCCGATTATGCAAAGGACTTGGATAAAAGACGATCGATTACAGGGTACGTGTTTACTTTGGGTGATTGCGCAGTTAGCTGGAAAGCGCAGTTACAATCTACTGTAGCGTTATCCACCACTGAAGCCGAATACATGGCTGCTACGGAAGCAGTGAAGGAAGCCCTCTGGTTGAAACGGTTGATAGGTGAGCTTTCAAACAAGTTATCTGTTAACACTGTTTTTTGTGACAATCAAAGTGCAATAATTCTGACGAAGGATCAAATGTTCCATGATCGAACGAAGCATATTGATGTTCGTTATCACTTCATCAGAGATGTTATTGCTAAAGGCGATATTACAGTAAACAAGATC